TCTTGTGGAGGCTGAAAAGGTCCAGGTCCCTCAGCCTTCCCTCATAGGGTTTTGCCCACAGGCCCCCAACCCTACAAGTAGCCCTCCTCTGGACCCTCTCCATGTTGTCCACATCCCTCCTGAAGTGCGGTGCCCAGAACTGGACACAGTACTCCAGCTGCGGCCTAACCAGTGCCGCATAGAGGGGAAGCATCGCCTCCCTGGACCTGTTTGTGATGCACCTACTAATGCACGACAAAGTGAGGTCACATTGACTACTCATGTTCATCTTGGAGTCAACAACAACTCTGAGATCTCTTTCCACTGCTGTGCTGCTGAGAAGGTCACCCCCAGCCTATAGGTGTGCTGGTGATTCCCTCTCCCCAGGTGCAGCACCTTGCACTTGTCCTTGCAGAACTGCATCCTATTCTTCTCTGCCCACTTCAGTAACCTGTCCAGGTCCACCTGGATTCAGTTTCTTCCCATCAGTGTGTTAGCTTCACCCCAGTTTGGTGTCATCTGCAAATTTGGACAGAACGCTTTCCACACCCTCATCCAGGTCGCTGATGAAGACATTGAACAGCACCGGCCCAAGGACTGAGCCCTGCAGGACCCCACTGCCCACATCTTTCCAGGTCGGTACTGACCCGTGCACCGCCACTCTCTGGGTGCGACTCCCAAGCCAACTTGCCACCCACCGGACCGTGTAATCATCTGCATCACAGACGCTTAGTTTATTTATGAGAATAAGATGCAATACAGTATCAAAGGCCTTCTTAAAGTCCAAATAGATGACATCTACCTCAACTCCTGCATCCAAGCATTTAGTGACCTGGTCATAGAAAGAAATAAGGTTAGTCAGCCAGGATCGACCTGCTATGAACCCATGCTGGTTGCCCTTCAGCATTATTTTTCCTGCTGGGCTCCCACAAATGTGATCCTTGATAATTTTTTCAAAGGTTTTCCTAAGGATAAAGGTGAGACTAACCAGCCTATAATTACCTGGGTCCTCCTTCCTCCCCTTCTTGAAAATAGGGACCACATTGGCCCTTTTCCAGTCTGCCGGGACCTGACCTGAACACCACAAGCGCTCGAACAGCCGTGCCAGTGGCTCTGCTACGACACTGGCCAGTTCCTTCAGCACCCGTGGATGAAAATCATCCGGTCCTGCTGACTCAGACACATCCAGCCCCTCCAAGTGCCCTTTCACCAAGTCTGTGCTAACAGCTGGTGTCCCTCCTGTGTCTATCTAGGATCCAACTGGGAGATTTGTCTTGGTCTGTGTCTAGGAATACACATGCAAAGGACTCATTGAAGAGCTCAGATTTGTCCCCCCTCTGTCGCTAATTGCCCTAGTTTGTCCTGTATGGTCCTATGCTATCCCACACCTTCCTTTTGCTCCCTATAGACTTGAAGAAGGAGTTTTTGTTTTGTCCTTAGTTTTTGTCACCAGCCTAGACTCTAATCTGGCTTTGTCCTTCCTAATTGATTCTCTGCAAGTGCAAGCCAGGGAGGTGTACTCCTCCTTAGTAGCCACCCCCTGTTTCCACCGCCTGTATGCCGCTTACTTTTTCCTTAGGCTTTCCTGGACTTCCCTGTTTAACCAAGAGGGTTTCTTGGCCCCTTTGCCCCTTTTTCTACGCCATGGGATTGTCTGCTTCTGCGCCCGTAGGATCGCTTCCTAAAGGAACGACCATCCTTCCTGAACCCTCATTTCGCCAATGCTCTTGAGCTGTAATGCCATTTCTTCTCCTCTTCAAAGCTTTTCTCTGCGACCCTGGAGGGCTGAAGACATTTTCCTTTTTAATTGAGAGCTGAAGTTTCTATTTTGCCTTATGACTCCAGGATGTCGCATCTACTACTGCATTGTCACATCTGACACGGTGAGAGCACAAGCTGTGAAAGTCGGGCGTGTTGATCATGACACCTGTGCTTCAGCTGCTGAGACTGGCTGCTGGCGCCAAGCAGGTTTTGTGGTTCTCTCTTTCTCTCAAAAGAAAAACCACAGCAGGTCAAAATACTTTTACCACTCTGGAGTCCTATTTAAAATCATAATCACAGAAACTGAGGGTGTGAAGGGACCTCAGGAAGTCACATCTGGTGCAAACCCCTGCTCCAAGCAGAACCAGCCCCAACTACATCATCCTAGGTGAGGCTTTGTCTACCGCTGATGGTGAACACAGCAACAGCTCGGCCAAGCCTCCACGTAAAATCTTTGTGACCAAATTAAAATAACAATGCATGTTGCACAAAAATGCAAAGTGGGAGCTGGGACCATACAAAATAGAGCAACCCGAATTGGTTTTATTCTCTGTGCTAGATTATGTCAAATCAAGAAAATGGTCAACAGCGAACTGCCACGCTCATCACGTGTGCGTGTCTCTCAGAAGCCAGGAAGGCAAGAGAGCTACATATGCATTTCAATTGACCGAGCAGCTCAAGGAAACAAAAGGCTAAATATGCATCTCAAGAGAAACATGTACAAGATACAGAAAAGATGTACCTGACAAACGCTTCTCCCAACAAGCATCCTGAGGTGTAGGGTGTTAAAAATGTCTGAACCATTCAATGTATGTCTGGAGTTTGAAAAATAAACCCTCACCTGTACAAGCTACTGCAAATATGCCCCACTGATATCCAGATACCCCAAGACAGGTTTGGTGACACCTCGAAGTATCCTGTCTGACTGCTCAGGCCCATCACCTGTAAATTGACCTACAATTGCAGGGTCTGCAGAGATGCACACGTTTTTACACCTAGACATTGCAAGAGCAGGAGCCAGGCAATTAATGCTTATGATATGATGATCAACACCTTTTCCTCCCTGTTTATTTGGACTCTAACTGGCCAACTATTAAGGAAAAATGCTTTGAAGTTATACAATTAAACAGTATAAGAACTAGCAGAATTTGCCAGCAAAGTGTGCACGCCAGGAGAAGCAGAGAGAGATCACCACTACATCGCACCCAGCTTAACCAGCAACAATACATCTCTGGGTTTATCTTGTGCATTGAGACTGCCCAGCTACCATTGTGCATCGCCCTGGAAAGGATAGCAATGCACCCCAGGGTGCCATAGCTCTGCTCTAGACCCACAGGGGAGCCTCTTCGATCATGGGCTGCACACTGCGTCCATCCCTGCCTTTCTCCTGCTCACCCTGATTTGCCATTGTAGATATTTGCTGCAACAATATCCCTTGCACCAGTGGCCCACAGCTTGCCCCAGGCCTCGACAAGTGTCTCCAGTTAAAAGCCGGGTGGCATGGTGGTCAGCAAGACATAGATTCACAGATACTTGGGTCGGAAGGGACCTCAACAGATCATCGAGTCTGACCCCTGTCTGGGCAGGAAAGAGCGCTGGGTCAGACGATCCCAGCCAGATGCCTATCCAGCCTTCTCTTGAAGACCCCCATGGTAGGGGACAGCACCACCCCCCTTGGAGCCCATTCCAGGTTTGGCCACCCTTACCGTGAAGACGTTCTTCCTGATGTCCAGCCTAAATCTGCTCTCTGTCAGTTTGTGACCATTGCTCCTTGTTACCCCAAGAGGTGCCCTGGTGAACAGAGCATCTCCGATCCCTTGCTGCGTCCCCCTCATGAATTTGTTGGTGACCACAAGGTCCCCTTAGCCTTCTCTTGCGGAGGCTGAAGAGGTCCAGGTCCCTCAGTCTCTCCTCATCGGGCTTGTCCTGTAAGCCCCTGACCATACAAGTGGCCTCCTCCGGACCCTCTTGAGTCTATCCACATCCTTCTTGAAGTGCGGCGCCCAGAACTGGACGCAGTATTCCAGCTGTGGCCTGACCAGCGCCGCATCGAGGGGGAGGTCACCTCCCTGGATCTGATGCATGATAAAGTGCAGTTAGCTTTGCGGATGATGTCGTCACACTGACGACTTGTGTTCGTCTTGGATCCACTTCTGTGCGGCTGAGAGGGTCACTGCCCAGCCAGTCGATGTGCTGGATATTTTTGCGTCCTAGATGCAGCACTCTGCACTCATCCTCCTTGTACTGCATCCTATTGTGCACTGCCCGCTTTTCTAACCTGTCCGGGTCTGCCTGCAATCGTTCCCTGCCCTCCCGAGTGTGCACTTCACCCCACAATTTAGTATCGTCCGCAAACATGGACAGAGTACATATCACCCCCTTGTCCAAGTGACTGATAAAGATATTGAAGAGTACAGGGCCAAGGACCGAGCCCTGCGGGACCCCACTGCCCACATCCCCCCAGGTCAATATTGACCCGTCCACTACCACGCTCTGGGCGCAACCCCCGAGCCAATTGGCCACCCACCGGACCATGTACACATCTATGTCACAGCCTCTTCATTTATTGATGAGAATGGGATGAGATACCGTATCGAAGGCCAAAACGACATCCACCTCTACTCCTGCGCCTAAGCATTTTGTGACCCAGGTTGGTCAAGCATGATCCATGCTGGTTTCCCGGCTGCATTATTTTTCCTGCTGGACTCCCACAAATATGATCCTTCATAATCTTTTCAAAGACCTTTCCAAGGATGGAGGTGAGACTGACTGGCCTATAATTACTCGGATGGTCCTTCCTCCCCTTCTTGAAAATAGGGACCACATTGGCCCTTTTCCAGTCTGCCGGGACCTGACCTGAGCACCACGAGCACTCAACCAGCTGTGCCAGCGGCTCTGCTATGACATGGGCCAATTCCTTCAGCGCCCTCGAATGCATCTCGCCCGGCCCTGCCGACTTGAACACATCCAGTCCGTCCGAGTGACTCTGCGCCAAGTCAGCGTCGACAGTCGGTGGGCTGGTGTCCCTCTGATGCCCATCTCAGAGCCCATTAGGAGACCCGTCTTGACCCTTGTTCAGGAACACCGAGGCAAAAAACTCATTGAAGAGCTCAGCCCTGTCCCCCCCGTCTGTCACTAATTGCTCCTGCTTGTTCAGGAGGCATCCCATGCTGCCCTGCGCCTTCCTTTTACTCCCTACATACCTAAAAAAAAAAAAAAGACTAGTCCTGGGAATTAAAGGATTGACACAACCGATCCAATAAATGACAAAAAAGCTTTATTTACTTAGGACTATTTACTATTAAAGGAGCCTAAAGCAAAAGTCCAGTATGTTTATCTGTAAAAGCAATAGCAATACAGGCAATGAGGTGCTTTCACTCTTTTCAGCTTTTCAAGGCATGGATCCGTCGCTGGAAGATCAGCTGGACATGTAAGTCTTGCCTTGAATGATATCTCACTCCTGATAGCCACTTCATTCCTCTTAATACCCTATAGCTCCGCGTTTTCAAAGCATTTTTGGTAGATGAGTGAAAAAATACCAATCATGCAATAATGAACAGGAAGGTCCTGTTTTCAACCGTTCGTTATTCATTATTGGAAAGGCCCAATTTTGAGGGAGTGACCTTACTCAGTAACAAGAGGTTATCAAACCCTGCTAAGCTGGAACATGTCAGGAAATGAGTTAACGACCGGAAGAAACACACAGTGTTTTTCAAGACTTGCCCTTGGAAGATCAAGGGAACCACAGAGGAAAAACAAAAGTAAATCAGGAGACAACTATCAAGCCCCGTATGAAAAATGTCCCTTCCTGCACATAAATGTGAGTTAATTATAACGAAGTATATTTACCATAGTCATTAATCAAGGATAGACATTTAACACAGTCAAATACCAGACACGTGGGAGCCTGTTTAAAATCACCAGAGGTGTACTAAGATAAGCTGCAAGCGACACTTCATGAGTTTTTTTCTGAAAATCCTAACCGCAAACTTATCTTGCCTTGTTCTGTGAATTTGTCGGTGATATTTTGTAGTATAATTTTTATGAACACAAGTTTCCCAGTCATCGGACATCTAGTCCAACCCTCTGCTCCAAGCGGGACCAGCCCCAATCACACCATCCCTGCCAAGGCTTTGTCTATCCAGGGTCTTATACACATCCCAGGAGGGAGATGCCTGGGGGTTTAGTAGGATCCAATGTGGTCAAGAGAGTTGGCAGGGCCAGGAGGAAGAAGCTACCCACGTGTTATAGCTGATCTTGGCAGGAGTGGGGGCATCTGCCAGGAGGGGAAAGGAGCTTCCAACCTCAATCCCACTTCTTCCATTTAAGGACCCCCATATTCCTAACACAGACAGTCTGGTGGGTGCCCATCTATGTGCACAGGCTGGTTTGAGCTTTTGTTACCTCCAGAGGCCTGGACCCAATGATCTGTAAGGTCCCTTCCAGCCTCTAACAACTATGAAACTTTGGGCCTGGAATCCGCTCAGCCTTTATCGCCTTTTCTGCAGAGGAAAAACTGAGGCATCCAACCCTTTGAGGCGTTGCAATGCACAGGGTAATCCCTCAGTGGCTTCGTCCCCCTATTGAAGCCTAGCCTTTGACTTACACTCGTGCTTTGTAATGGGTCGAGTTTGTCGTGCATCATATCTGACAGGGCCTTCGTGGAGGGAAAGGACAGGGAGCAGCGAATGAGGCAACGCAGAGAAACCAGAGCTGGGCACAAAGGTGAAGGATGGCGTGGAGAGTGGGTGCATTAGGGTGATGGGGCATGGAAAGTAGGTGTTATGGGTGATGGGACAAATACAGAGCAGAAGTCTAGGGCCCAAGACACAGCGCCGATGCTCTTCTTACCCCCTCGTTTCAGCACAGAAACAAATACGCGATGCATCCAGGGTCAGACAACAACAGGAAAGGGGTTTATTCAGGCCTAGTGCCCACATGGGTGCAGTGGGGCATGATGCGGCTCATCCGTTGTCTATAGAAGAAACGTTAGCCAAGGGTTAGAGGAAACGATTTAGAAAACAGCAGAATCCAGCTGCCCGGGGAGAGGAGAAGAGAGGGGCGGGGAGGCGGGGGCTGGGCTTGCATGGCAATCATGCGTTCCTGGTATTTGGCATTTGTACAGATCCATCGCATGGAAATATCTCCGCCGCGGCGGCACCCCGCGTGGGAAGGTACCCAGTAAACGTTTTCCCTGCGAGTCCAACTACAGTTAAACGAGCCCTATCACCTGGGAAGATGGGTTAAAAACCCCACCACAGCATCCTCCACCATTTCCTGGTAGGTGCAATTGGGTTTGTCTGTGGGGGGTGGGGAGGCCTTTATCCATCTGAGCTTCCCAAATCTCGAGTACCAGAATTAGATGAGGCAACTTTCTAGATCTGCTGAGCCGCGAAGTGGGGCACCCAGTCACCAAGGCGGGCAGTGAGAGAGGAAATATTGGCTATATTGGGTCTGGGATTGTACTTAGAAGAAAGGGCACCATAGGTGGTCACAGCCTGAGAGAGCTTTGCACAAAGTGGGTGGCTGATGCCTCACTGGGGGAGCTTGGGCTCTTCAGGGCAGCAAGTCCTTTTTTCCCAGGCCCCATTACGCGCCGACCCGGAGGATACAGATGATGCTGGCCAGGATGCCCATGGCCATCACCGTGTAACTGGCTTTCACGCTGCTGGCCCCACTGATGTTGCACAGGAAGGAATCGCAGCACGTCACAGAGGCCGCCGCAAGCCCGATATTAATCCCAGCGTTTGGGCAGATGGATGCACAGCCCTTGGAGATGGTCTGCCCAGAATGGCTGCCTTCACGGGAGGAGGAAAGAGAGAGAATCAAGGTTAAAAAGTCCCCTGGAGTTCAGGTAACTTGGGAGGGGGGACGATTGTACTGAAGGAGCTAAGGGAGCGTGAGGAATGGGGAATGCGCTTCCTGCTACTTAATTGATTTAATCTCAGCGGGTTCTTGTTCGTCAAGGATGCCCAACTGCTGCGGTCGTTGCTGCGATGCTAGGCATAGGAACCAGGGCAGGAAGAGGGCCCCTGGGCACTTGCAGGCTATTGCACTTGCAAGTCTCTCTTGCACTTGCAGGCTATTGTTAGGACAAGGACTCCCCAAAATCCCCACTTCAAACCCTCACGCGCAACTAAGGTTAGGAACAGACACTGCATTTAGGCAAATCGTGGCTGGGTTTATCCCAGAGCAGAAATATCCTGGGATTGATGTGTACACACAATCACCCTTCCAATCGGGGTTTAGTGGGCGCCCAAATGCACTGCCACCTTTCTGCCATCGACTCAGTGTAGTCCCAGGATAACAGTCCAGACAGACTCTCCAGTGCCCCAGGAGGAACTGTTAGTACTTCTTCTCCCATGAACCCTTTCTGGATTTATCCCGGGATAACGGCAAAATTGCACTTTGTCCTGGGGTAAGATGGTTCATGCCATGCAACGTGTTTGCAACCTAAAAAGCACAGTACCCGACATACCAAAATAAGCCGGGGGCTGGGCCCAGAGCAGGGGCTACAGAGGGGGCTCCAGCCATCCCACATTTCACCGTAGCTCCCTCCCAGCGCTGCCCCTAAAATCCCTGTTGGTGCATCTCTACCAATATCGGTATCGGCCCCCAAAATCTCTATCGGTGCACCCCTAGAAGAGATGCTCAGAGAAACCTAGGTAAAGGACCCTAACCTCTGCTATGCAAAGCTGCCATGGTTTAAGGGAAAAACTGCTGGCTCCTAATGTGGCGACTGGTATGACCCTGAACAAGACCCTCCAGTCAGGTACCTCTGGGTTTCTAGTACCAGCATAGGTGCAGGGCAAAAATCCCTGGCCTGAGCTGTGACCAATGACCCAGTGCCTCAAAAAAAAAGGTAGAAGCACTGCCTGAAGCAGTATCCTTCGCCAGGCTTCAGCCCTGCTTCCTTTTGTGCATGCACACCCCACTGTGCCTGGGATCTGGGCAGGCGCCGGAGCCTGTGCATCCTCCCGTGCAAATGTAAATGCAAGGAAACCCCTTGCCTGCATAGGAAGTGTGTGTCTTAACAGTGCCTCCCGGCTTGTTTCTGTGCAATGCAAGGGCTGCGGGTCATGGGTGGCAGGTTTTGAATGGCCTGTGCAATGGTAGTACACTTGCCCCCCTTTCTAGTCTGGACCCAGCTATAGGACACAACCTCCCCTCCCAGGAGAGCTACAGGGTCAGGCAGCCGTGCCCACTGCTATATGTTGGGGTGACAGAGCCAAAGCAGGGGGCTGGTGACCATCGTTCCCCTCCACAGAGCAAGGCCATTTCCCCTCCCTGCAGATGAGGAGACAAGCAGCCATCCTTTTATCCCCCCTATAAATGGTGGAGAGAAGCAGACACCTTGACCAAAGCTGGTTGTAGAGACAAGGCTGCAAATAGGCAGCTGAAAATCCCTAAGCAGGATGCCTCTTTCCTCTTCCCTCCCCTAAGGACCATGGAGGGAGGAGAAGGGGACATAGTTCCCATGTCCCCGGGGTCCTGCCCCTTCATCTGGACCACGGAGGCGCTACCACACTTCCATGCCGTGGCCCCTTCTGCACAAGACGTGCAGCTCCTCCTCTGAAACCTCCCGCCTTGTTGTTTCCAGGAGCAGCAACCCCAGTTGGGAGCAGAAAACAGAAGCCAGGCAAGAAGAGGGGCCCAGACTCACCGACACTTGTGCTGAAATAAGTTGTCACGCAGTGATCTTCCCCTTCACTGCATGTCACCGGCGTCAGACAAGCCCAGTTGGAGGACGCATCTTTGCAGGAGAAGCAAACCAGCAAGTGAGCTGCAATGGGAAAGCATGTGTTGGTTCATCCCCTTCTGGAATAATGCACTGCCCTACGGTGTGATAGTGCAACTGGAAATGTCTCCAAATTGCAGCAAAAAGTGTTTCTTTAAGGCTAAAAACAGACAACTGGTTTAATTTGGGCCTGATGAGTTTGAGATTTGACTCACATCAAAATAGGGACAGCTGTTCACACATGAGGCCATCTGGATACTTCAGCAGGTATTTAATGTGGGCTAACTGGGCTTGTCCATCGCCAAATCTCAGTCAAACCGGTTATCTGTTTTTAATAGTTTGAACTGTACAGGCCTAAAGCTGGGACATAAGATCCCTCGGTCACCTCGGACTACCCCATTCTCTGTGCCCATGTAGCCACTGTCTCCTCTAAGAGATGTGCCCCCCAGACCCTAGCCGGGAAGGATGAGCTCTGCTTTTTGCAGGTCAGATGAAAATAAGGGTGAGATTTTAGTGAGGCTCAGGGTGAGACATGATGGCAGACCCGGGCTCTGCACGGGGCCATGCAGTCCTGATAGGATTGATCTTTTAAATATATATGGCCATAAGATCACAACTGTGTTGGGGCTTCTGGCTATAACTTAGAGTTGTCCCCTATTTTTATTACTGAGCACAAAGATTGCAAACTCATTAGGCAAGGGACTGTCCTTTTGTTCTGTGTTTGTACAGCACCGAGCACAGCAGAGTCCTTGCTTGTGGCTGGACCTGCTAGGGGCTACCTGGCATAATAAACACGAGATGAATAAGATAGTCTTATGTCTTAAAGGCACTGATAATTTGGGCGGAAATTTTAAAAACAATGAGAAGAAAAGCAGCTGTGACTGATGCAGTGACATTCAGGAGGATACCTGAAGTCAGGGTAGATAAGCAATGTGAAGAAATAATTAAACCCAATTAGCTGGAGTTCTGGGAAAGAATGCAGGTAGAACCAGCTGAGACTGGCTGTTCAATAACTTCCACCCCCACAACTTCCTATCCAGCATATGCAGTCACATCTTTCATTGTCTGATTGCAGGGACTGGTTTCTCAGCAGGTTTCCAAAGCAGATGGGAG